TTCGGTTTCTGTTGGCGTTGATCCGTAGGGGTCTGGCTTCGCTGACCCCGCTCAGCGCTCACAACCGCGTGCCACGTACAAGCGACTGTCCAGCGCCAGACCCCGAAAACACCTCCCCGCATGGGGGTCCCGTGCCCCCCGCGTGCTTCCTCGCCGAGCTTTCAGCAAGGCACATAAACAGAAGACCGCCCGCACTCAAGTTTCGGTTACTTTTGTACCAGATGCAATACTTTTTTTTTCAATAAACAAAAACAAAACAACTGACAGCAACAAGGCTCCGCTGAAGAGTGGAACGTGTGCCTTTTAGCAAGAGATAAAGCAAATGGTTGAATAATCCAGCTCTTAGCTTGGCAAGAACGTTCCTCCACGCAAAGTGGGAACCACAGCATACGCGACAACGTGCCGCTGACGACAGGGCCCATATAACTTGTTTATTGAGCTCCATATATAGTTAAAATCTGTAGGTGCCGTAATCCATTTAAAAAAAACACAAAGACTTCTACAAACAGTAAAAGGCTCTAAGATTGATGATCCCTTTCATCTAAAAAAAAAAAACCAAACACCAAACCCAAACCCCCGCAAGCCAAGGAACACACCCCCCGGGCGGGGGAAAGGGAAGCTGCGGATGCAAAGAGCGGGCGGCAAAAGGAGCTGGGTGCTGCGAGGACGCGGGCAGCGCCCAGCGAGGGTCCCCTCGCCCGCGTCTCCGTGCGCGGCGCTGGGAAACGATCTCTCCTCTCGCCACCCACGTGGAGCAACTCCCCAGCAAGTCCTTCCCGTGTGTTTTCTCGGTCCCGGGCTCTCCGGTAGCCTTTCCCAACAAATCCTTGAGGGACGTGGTGCTACCACCCGAGCAAGGGGCAGGGGAAGCGCACGGATCCCGATCCGCGGGCACACACACAGTACCCGGCTCGATGGAGACGTTCCAAACGCTCATTACGGAGTCTCTCCGGCGAGAACAGCCACGCCGCTGCGCTCCCGACCGTCCTTCCCCATCTCAACGCCACAGCCGCCAAACGGGGCAGGGGGATTTACGTACCTTCCCGAGCACATCGCCAGAAGTGCCGCAGCCACCGAAATGCCGCGTTCCCTTCCCAGAGACGCGGGGTGCAATCCCCACGCCCGAGCACTTACGCAGATCACATTATGGAGGAAGAGTAAACGCCGCGTGAGAAGCACAAGGGGCTGAAGGACAGCACGCGTTGAAAGCTGGTTTTTAACTTTTTTTTTTTTTTTTCCTCCTGCAGTTTCTGACTCAGTCTTGGAATCCTTGTCTGGCCACGTTCCCGCCCCACACGTCTACCCTCTCCTTTCCACAAGAGCGATGTCTCCGTTCTCCTTCCCAAACTCCCCTCCCTTCCCCTTTGCGGAAGCCCACGTACAGGAAGGATGCCAGCGATGGCACAAAATCCCTGAGCAAGAGTCTCTCAACTCCCAACGCCTCTCACTCACCTTTGGGAAACTACAATTCCACGGGATATCCGTGCTCTACACCCCTCCTTACCAAAAATGC